CTTCACACTCGGCTGCAAACCGCCCCAGTGCACGCTGGAGGTCCTGGTTTGATGGGGCCCACAGGACAACGTCGTCTGCAAAAAGCAGAGACGAGATCCTGTGGTCCCCAAACCGGACTCCCTCCGGCCCCTGGCTGCGCCTAGAAATTCTGTCCATAAAAATAATGAACAGAGCCGGTGACAAAGGGCAGCCCTGCCGGAGTCCAACATGCACTGGAAACAAGTCTGAATTACTGCCGGCGATGTGAACCAAGCTCCTGCTCCGATCGTACAGGGACCGGACGGCCCTTAGCAAAGGGCCCCGGACCCCGTACTCCCGGATCACCCCCCACAGGGCGCTGTGAGGGACACGGTCGAATGCCTTCTTTAGCTCAATTAAATCAAATTACAAAATGATGCTTTCAGCTTTTGAGCTAAACTATAACAATATGCATCACCACTCCATGTTTCACCAGAGTCTCAGCCTTTCCAAGATTCCTAAAATTCCTGTCAAGTTTCCTGTTGAATTTAGTGCAGAATGACAAATAGGTCTTATAAATGTCTCTCCAAATTTATCTGAAGTGTTGTCTGGTGAATGCAGAAGGTCTCCACTTTGACCGTCAGTGTGACTGTTCCTCCGCTGCAGAAGCAAAGTGACAAAATTCATCCTGTCCTGTTGTCTTTAAATGAGACCACCAAGCTCTGAGAAATACAGTGTTGTGTGTAATGGCTTAATGAATAAAAACAATTTATCATGTACACATTGCTCTTCAACAAATATACTATCTTCACAATCACATCTCAAAAATAAGAAACTGTAAATCCTTCATATCAAATGAACTCTGGGAGTGTTAATGCAATTTCTAACAGGAACGTTGTGTGAAATTAACTCTTGACATTAACACACTGATAAAAATGAACTCTTGTCCCTGAGCCACATCAGGATTAATAGCAAATGAACAATCAACACACTGAGCACCTAAAAGACTGTCACTGAAAAAACAACACTCTTTAACAATGAGAATACAGACACAGACAGGGTTCATATACACAGGTCCACACAGGTAGAGTTAATCAAACACTAAAGATTTATAGCAGCTGATGTGTGTGTGTGTTGCTTTACAGCAAGTGGATACAACAAAATGTGAATATGGAGAAAAATATCACATACACCCACACAACTATGCACAGAAGCACACTCTTGCATGCATGGCGGTGAGACCTGGGTTAATTACTCACACTGGTCAATAATGAGCCACAAATCAATTTTTAATTGTGTTGGTCTCCTGTATTAATCAGACAGTCGATTCTGAGCACATCCTCGGCGCCCAGATGAGCCTCGGCAAGCAAAAGAGCTTCAGGATGAGAAAAGATGGAAAGACGATGGAGGAAAAGAGCTAGTGCAGAGAGCACAAAAGAAAGAGAAGACGGGCAATAATGCAGCATAGTTTAGCAAAGCATGATGGTTACTCACTGCCCGAGAAACCCAAGGGAAATTTTTGTTGTTTTTTTGTACCCAGGCATGCTATTACCCCTGATATTATTAAAGTAGCTCAACAAGTATGATGCTGTGTGTGTGTGTGTGTGTGTGTGTGCGCAAACATTATTGTCCTGCTCCATTTCAGTCAACAAGCTGATAGAATAATGGAGAGATGCTGACCTACCTACTATACATGTTCACTTTTTCTCTGTTTATATCAAATGATTCCCCCCTTGCTCTTTCTAATTTCATCTACATTTTTGTCACCCCATCATTCTTCTAACTCGTTATATAATCTCTTTCACCTTCAGACAGAAAAGTAATGAGCATCTGCCTCGCTCAGTGAGTCATTACCATAACCACCTGATAAAACAGAAAACTGAAAGAAACATAAAGCATGTAAAAAAAAATAAATAAATAAAAAATTCAAGGCAACAAATAGAACTTTTGTAAAACTTCAAAAAGCCAAGTCAAACCACAGGGACCCTGATAGGAAGTGTCAAGTAGCTTTTAAGGCACAAAGACAAGCCATTAAAAGAGTTGGCGTGACACTACATTTTAATATTCCATTTAGCATGCGCTTTTGGAAATGTCACTGCCGCATTTGAGTTTGGTGTGATGGAAAGGCATGCGTTTGATTACAGTCATCATCCTTTCAGCCAGTCAAGACTTCAGATTACATTTACTAAAAAAATCACTTGGAAATGTACACGCACGTGTTTGTTTTTATTCAAGGTGGGGACTTATATTCATTTCCTAGAGACTTACCCTCACCTTACTTGCATAATCTTAACTGCACTTTAAAACAAGCAGTCACCCTAATAATCAACAATTTACATAGTGGGGTCCAGTAAGTCACCATGAGGAAGGCGAGTCCCCACAGTGTGAGTGTGTAAACAGGTTTCTGTCCCCACAGTGTGAGTGATGCCCACACACATACACAAATGCTTTTAAGCTCTTGTAAACCCTGGTCAGAATGCAAACCTCCAGTGACAAGCTAATGACAGGTAAGTGTCTTCAAGACAAAAAAGCACGCTGTGATTCACCTGATGGACAGTCCAGATGGTAACTGTTGGTTTTAAAGATTAAAGGAACTTGCATTGTCTTTCAAACACGCAGATGCACTCCAGGAGTGTGTGTCCCAAAAGTAGAAAGGCACTATCACAAGACCTCTGTGTTCTGAGTGTGCGCTTTGGTGCTCATAAAACTCTCTGGTCCATAAATTGACAATAAATTACTTGCATTTTAGCTTCTTATTTTCCCCAGTCAGTGAAATTAGTGCACAATATATGAGACAATCTGGGTTGTTTTTGTATTTAGTTACTATGGCAATGAAAAGGAGTGAGTAAATTGATAGAAAGCTTTTATATTATTGTGTCTGTTTCAGTGCTGATTGTGTATGAAGAGAGAGGAGCAGGCTCAAATCAGGTTGTAATCAGACAAATAATCGTCCTGCAGCACCTCTTACTGCGTGCAAACAGAGACAAAAAGAAGAAAGGGAGACTTCAGTCCTCTATGTACACTGTAGGTAAGTCTGTCATCCATTAGTGAGCTTTTTATTGACTACTGGAGCATTGGAAAGGCCTTCACCACAAGAAAAAATCTGTTGTTGAATCTGTTGGATGAATTAACAAGTACAAAAACCATCACAAATGTCAATTTAATTAGCCACTGGAGAGTCACATTAATCTGCCTGAATTTAGAAATCTTTTGTCCAATGGCCTTCTCTCTTTTCTTGAGACAACCTCATTTTTCACCAGTACTGAACTGGTTTTATGAACAGTAAAATGGCCCTGACCAGTCAGTCTGACTGAGATTAAGCTTGAAATGACAACATGTACTGAGCTGTACAGGAATGTCTTATAATTCCATATGTTAACATGAATGTGAATTTCAACCCTATTTTAGAATAATACTTGCACCAATATGTACTGGTTGCTATAATAATTCTTCCTGCCCATTTTCATTGAATTGAATAGGAAAGTGTGTCCAAACATTTGACTGGAAAAACAACCTATCTAGTTCCAAAAAAATCAAACTACACACACTGGAGGAAGAACATGAAATTTCAGAGAGACATTAGGACTGTGGGAGAAGATTAGTGGCACCGAAACTGACCACAGCAGTGACAGTGACACGTATGAGAGCGAAACCGCCTCAAGCCATGCTCAGACTTCTGGAATAAACAAGGCATGTTCAGTCAGCCAGGGAGGACAGATGAACCACAAGCACTGACATCAGGGATGAGACAACCGCGAGGTCATGATGACCCAGACTCTGACACAAATACATGCTGACTCAGACACAGACGCAGAACTGCTAACAGAATGAGTGCAGGTGCACAAGATGAGATGCGACCTTCTGTTGAAGCTGACGTGTGCGTGATATTGGTGGTTCAACTCAGGCCACTGCCGTTTGCCACAGGTTTCTTTCTCCTCTGTTTCCTAAGTGACTGTTCAGTAAAGGCTAAAATGTCCAAAAGTAAATCGTTAAAAAAGAGGTCTTAGAAAGACTTCAATTTAACTTGATGAAACCTGTAGAAACCCTTTTCCCAGTGAAACTGAGAGACTTTAGTTTAATGGTGGGATTGTCAGTTGGTTTCAGT